ATTTTCTGTAATGACAAAATAATGGTCCAACACTAGGGAGAAGTCAGCGTTCAAGGCCGACCCACCGCGTGCACTGACCGTTGAACCGCCGCGTGGTAAGCCCCACTCTTCGCAAAGGATTTCGCGAGACTTCCTGGACACCTGTCTGCTGCTGAGCTTCCGCCACGAATGATTAAAGTGGTCGGAGGGAGATTTGGAGAGGTGTGCGACAGGGGTGACCTCTACACAACTAATGCTGCCTGAGCCAGCCACCAGGTGCCAGCGATGCTGCCCCGGGTTTCAGGACGAAGTATACATATTAGAGTGAACAAGTATGCATGCATGAAGAGGGTACCCAGCTTTTCGTAAACATATTTGCGTACGGTGTGAATTTTGTATGGCAAAAGTGCGCACGCGAAAATTTGCTCGCAAAACCTGGTAGGCAAATATTTACATGGTATAAAGTACGCACACGAAATGTTTGTGTTAACACAATCCGTCTATACCATGGATGTAGGAACAGGGGGGGGGGGGGGGGGCAGTGGGGCCATGAACGCCCCCCACTTTTCAAGATGGGGCCAGCAATGTTTACTAACGCCCCGCCCCACACTTTTCAGATTGAGGTTGCATTTGGTTTACTTTTGCACTACATTAAACATGCATACCGATTTACCTAGTTCACCAGCCATCTGCAACAAAATGCGTCATTTCTTTCGTTTGCTCATTGGCCACCACTTAGTGTTACAGCTGCAGGGCCGACGCCGCACGGCCAGGAGACGCGGTAACCCTGGCATTTATTCGTTTACTTACGCAATACAACAAAATCATGTCAACTTGACGGCTGTAACTCCTTATTACGCCACACTTACACCACACACACACAGTACCTTTTCCATGGTCTGCTGGCAGACAGAGTCATCTCACTCCCCCCCCCCTCCCCCCGAAACCAAGAAAAAACAAGAGTACTTAAATAAATATAAAGACTAGTACTTTTCTGGCAAAATTTTGTAATCAGCTGATTTGACTTGAAACCTGTTAACAAAAGCGCTCAAATGATGATATCCATCTTGTAAATTAAATCCAGAAGACATTCCTTTAATTTTTCACTCCTGCATTTCCGGGAGTGATGCAATTAAATGGTCAAGTTTCCTCGGGGAAAAAGAAATACGTGGGGTGAAATCCTCTACCAAGCCTTGCTGGTATATGCGCCAGGCTCTGCTTTCGTGGTGTGGCGGTGAGACCAAAAAATTGGGGATGCATGAAAACCTTTCATTTGGCACACAGCTGCCGAGTGTGATGCATTTTGTAAACAAACCAAGCTTAATGCGTGCAAGCGGCTGAAGCTGCTGGGGTTCTTGGGCTTGGAGGTACCTGGCACCCTTGTTCTGTGCATACATAAGCATGATTCAGATGTAGGTGAGGCAGGACATAGCCATAGATGTCCAGGTTCTGTGGGGCCTCGTTTATGCTTTGGTGTTTTCAAGTGAGCTCGGTTTTGGAAGACATCTGAAAACATCAGAAACGGAAACAGGGCTCTAGCATGTGCGATTAGACAATGTCAGGCAAGAGTGAAAAATTCACATAAAATATGGGGAAAAGGAGTGAAAAATTCCTCCTCACAGGGGGTTGCTTTACATCCAAAGTCGGCAATTCTAGGAGACCGTATTAAGTACACGAATACATTCCAGCGTGCTGCGTCTGTGTGGCCTTGAATTTGGACCCTCACTCAGTTTTTCAGGTGTGATAAAAAGCAGACATCATGACCTTCAATACGACACTATTTTTCACGCATTCCTCAAGTTATACAGTAAATGGCAGGTTACGTCATTTTTGTGACAATGACCTTAGGTCTTTGGAGTTGGCCTTTTAAGCGTGAAGAAAGCAGACGTGATGGTGATCAATGTGATACATTTTTGTTTTATTCTTAAACAAATGAATACACGTCAGCGTACCGATTTTAGTGACTTTGACCTTTGCCCTTATAAGGTGTTTTTTATAATATGTGACAAAAACAAATACCACGAGTATCAATACGACATCATTTTTTGCTGCCTTTCTTTGGTTAGAAATGGCAGAGTACCACTTTTTCGCGACCTTAACCTTTATCTTAAAATGGGCCATTTCTAGATGTAAAAAGTGGACAACGCGAACACTGATACCCATTTTGTTATATTTCTGAAAAACCCAGAGAACGGTACTTTGTACCACCTTGACCTTTGATCTTGAGAGAAAAATTTTGCTGGTTCGAAAAAAGCAGGGCCTGATTATCATCGATATTCTTCCCATTTATGGTGTGTGTTGATAAAATGGATAAATGCTAAGTTAACACGCACTCGGGGGGGTCAAATTGCCCCCACGATAGTTTTTCCAGAATAGTTTCCGAACGGCGCGGCGACACCGCGTCAAATTTTGCATAGCTGTATACAATTGAATAGAAAATTGTTTGGCATCAACAATTTGGATGTGCCTTGGAAAGTCGCTGACCTATGGCAGGTCAAAGTCAGGCCAATATTTCAGCATAGTCAATTTCCAGGGAATTGCTCAATCTGATGCAACAACGAAGTGTAACGCAAAGCCATGCAAATCTGATATGCTTTCTTAGGCAACACAAATATTGAAGGAACAAGTTACGCTGACTTGAGGTCAGGTATAAAGGTCAGGACCAAGGTCAACAGCCAGCCTGTTTCATTACTCTAGGGCTTGCTGTATGGGATATTTTCTGGCGCTCATTTCGAATTTGTCGAGCAGGAACCGCATCATATATCTTCCATGGGCTTCTTAGAGATCAGAGTAGATCATTGACCTGAAATGGCCCAGGTCAACATTTTGTTTCTAAAAACATACTGCCTAGCGTAATCTTTGTCGCTTATTCAAATACAAAACTCAGAGCAGTCTGCATGATTTCGGTCACCATACCCTTTAAAAGGTCAAAAAGGTCTCCGACCTTAACTGAGTATGTGACCTTCTGCTTAGAAACCATTATCTATGTTCAGGGGACACTTTGGAGACCATCCTGAAATTTGACCTTGTTTGACGCTATTTGAAACGAAAGTCATGACCTAAGAACTTCAAACTTTGACCTAAGTGAGTCCACGTACATGTCAACACACCCTGTAAATTTGGTGTCTCTAGCTCTCTTAGTTCCAGAGATCTGAGGGGGAGGTAGCTCAACATGACCCCCCACCCGAGCGAAGGGTATCTGTCCGGCCACCCGGGCGCGTGTTAACGCTTTTGTGATCTCGACATTTGACCTTCATTATTCCATCACGAAAAAGGAAACCACGACCATCATTATCGCATCCATTTTGTTTGATTTATTTGGGCGCCGAATTTATGTAAGGGTACTGCGCTTTGTGCAACCTTACCCATAACCTTGAGTTTTTTTCGCAGGTCTTTGCTAGATAACCTAGCAAAAGGTGTGACGAAGGGATGGCCAAGGCGGGTATGACGAAAGGGATTATCTCAAGCATTCTTTTTATACCTTATATCCCCTATGTTTGTGAAGGAATAAATGCTCAAGTGCTGCGCTTTCTATGACCTTGCCAGATGACTTTGAAATCTGTTTCTTACGGATGTCACGGAAAGGACATCACGAGCATCAATATTCCAGATTTTTGGCACATTTTCTTCACAAGTGACAGAATGTCACAACATGCAGTTTTGTGTGAACTTGACCCTTAACACGCGTTCGGCTAGGGGCAACTTGACCCCCGAAGGCTTTTCGGCATGGTTTCCGAACGGCGCGGCGTAACTGCACCAAATTTTGTACAGCTGTAGGCAATGAAATAGCGGATCGGCTGACATCTATGGAATAGTTCAATCTGATCCAACAACAGAGTGTTAGACAAAGCCATGCATCTCTGATATACTTTCTTAGGAAACACAACAATTGAATAAGCAAATAACATTAATCTAAGGTCAGGTACGAAGGTCAGCCAGGGTCAAAATAAACCTGTTTTATTACTGCATGCCTTGCTGTATGGATTGTTTCTGGTGCTCATTTTGAATTCATTGATGACAGGACCTGCATTGTTCACCTTCCTTAGACTTCCTTAAGGTCAGAATAGGTCACTAACCTTGAATCACCCATGACACATGTTTTTGGGAACATACGGCCTAGCATAATATTTGTCGCTTATCCAAATGCAAAACTCAGAGCAGTCTTGTAAAACGAGGTCACTGACCTTAGGTGAGGACGTGACTTTTTGCTTAGAACAATTATCTAGGTGCCAGCGGGCCCTTTGGAGACCAACCGGGAATTTGACCTTATTTTACCTTATTTGACCCAAAAGTCATGACCTAGGAGCATCAGACTTTGGCCCTAAGTGAGTTCACGTACAGATCAACACACCCTGTAAATTTGGTGTCTCTAGCTCGCTTAGCTCCTGAGATCTCAGGGGTGTCAAATTGACCTCCCACTCGAATGAATGGTATCCAACCGCCCATGCGGGAGCATGTTAACCTTGGGCGTGAGTTTTGTTTTTTAGATGTGACAAAAGGGGACATCAAACGGATCAATATAATATCCACTTGAAAAGGGTTCGGTGATAAACGAAGGAATTATAGGACACCAAATTCACGATTCAAAGTTGGTGGCCTGGAAAAAAGGGTTGCAGATTCTTGCATAAATCACTGGGTCTGGCCTCGGTAAACTGCTTTTGAAACCATGAAATCGGTACTGAATTCGAATACGAATGTGAGGCAAACTGGACCTTATAGGAGGGTGACATTGGATGGCCCAGCTCAACCTTGGGGATCTAGGCCCCCCCCCCCCCCCCCCCCCCAAAGAGATACAGGGCTTCACCTCGGCCCCAGTGCACCGTCCACAGCCAGGGTAAATACATCTACTGCACGCGTGATATTGCACATCATTGGCACACGGTGCTGTTTTGGCAGTGTAGCAGCTCACGGTAGGCAATATAAAACAGATGCCTCAGGGCTGGCTCTGTCTGTACTCAAGGTCAGCCGGTCATCTGTGCGCGCATCATGATTCGAAACTGGTACTCTGGCGCGTGCGCGGATATGTGAGGAGTGTGTCCTCGAGAGGCCAGTGGTTCACGGAGAGTCGCGCCGTGGTGAGGCGCGACCAGGGGCGCGGCACTGTCGCTCGGGAAAGGGCATCTACTGCCAGCGTCTTCTTTCATCATCAGTGGCGTTCTGGTAGTCGGGCACTGTGAGTAGTATATCGTGAACAATCCGTGACACTTCAGCGGACCTGTTAAGAAGCTTGCTAGAAGAATATGTTAGTTTTTATCATAGACGTGGAGTTTTATAGAGTGTGCTTGATTGAGAATCGTATAACAAGCATAGTTCTTTACAGTGAGATGGCAGGGGAATGATTTGAGCCATTCATTGAATGAAAATGATAATGTGTATACTCTGATTGTGATGTTCCAACGGGCTTGCTGTGTTTCTTACACTGTATAGGCGCCTGTGTTTTCTAAAGCTTGTGCTGATATGTAAGCATTGGATCAAAAAGTTTCTTCCCTTCATGCCTGATGTAGGTATTTTACTGTCTTCATTGCATGATCCCAATGGGTAGCTTACAAGAATGCAGGGAGCAAGCATATTGCAGTGATACTTCACCTTTCATTATAGTGATACATTTACCTGGATCAGAAATGTGGTACAGCAGTCTCCAGCCCTGGTGGTATTTGTGTTACTTGAATAACAGCAGTGCATTTTGTTTTAAGATGGCACAAGCAGCTGATCCTGCACTCAATGCCAAGATCAATGAATGGCTGTCATGGGATAAGGTATTGTAATTTCCATCCCTGTTTGTCTTTTTTCAAGTAAATGGAAGGCTCTCTAGCTAATAATTGGCTTAAGAAAACATTGACCTGATGTTTTGTGGTCCATGAGAAATATATCAAGCTGGCAGATTAGTTATAAAGCTGTGGAATATTGTTATATTGTTCATGCTGGCATTGCACAAGGCTTTGGTTCTATAATCATCCACAAAGAATCAACATTCCAAGCTGGTATGGCTAAGAAAGGTGCAAAAGGAGTGCACCATCCTCACATAACAGCTGACGTTAATCTCAATTTACGTTTCTGCTTTGCACTGTGCCTGAACTGTGCAACTCCCAAATGGATTTTGTATCTTCCCATAGCCATTGTGAGTCTAACCATGACAACCATGGACATTATATCTGTCTCATTGGCCCCCATAATGTATCATGTTACCATTTTCATTGTCACCTTGATGATCAGTTGGCCTCTAAGGTGGTAAATTATGGCATGTCTGCCCATATCCCCTCCCCCTTCAAGTGAGGTGACCCAGGCAGAGATCAGCAGACTGCAACAAGCTAGGGAGTGGGCACAGGCATTGGCAGTCTTACCACAGCATAGCACACTACCTTACTAGGGCCAAACTATGGCAATTGTAGCCATTGTTTGTACCTTGTGAATGACCCCATGGGACATCATTTCACCGCTGTCCCTTCCCTTAGATGATAACATACTCCCCATGTGACAGAATGGTGACAACCATGGCTCTTCTTCCCATCCCTCACACTCAGAACGAAGAGACCCACGCCGAGATCAGCCAGCTGCATCAGGCTGAGGACTGGGCACAGCTGCGCAAGCTGCTGCTGCAGCGGATGACGTTCGGCACGGCAGGACTGCGCGGCCGCATGGGCGCCGGCTACGGCTGCATGAACGACCTGGTGATTGTGCAGACGACGCAGGGCCTGGCGCGCTACCTGCTGCAGACGGTGCCGGACGCGGCCGGCCGGGGTGTGGTGGTGGGCTACGACGGCCGCTACCACAGCAGGAGGTCAGTCATGGTCTCCAGGCGCGGCCGGGCAGGGCGTGGTGGTGGGCTACGACGGCCGCTACCACATCAGGAGGTCAGTGGTGGTCGCCGGACGCGGCCGGGCGGGGGGTGGTGGTGGGCTACGACGGCCGCTACCACAGGGGAGGTCAGTGGCGGTAGCCGGCTGCGGAAACGGGAGGGAGTTGGGAGCGCAGTTGTCACAGCGCATCCGTCGTGGGCCGGTCGCCACAGCACATGCGGGCAGGTGACAGGGTTACCCCGGCAAGAAGTGGTTCCTGGTCATCGGTCACCATGACAAAAGGTCTGTGTTCTGTCGGTGCTGCAGGTCGTCAGGACGGGTCAGGATCATGCATGGACGGGCCGCTATCACGGTGGCTGATAAGTATCAGCACAGCTGCGTCGCCGCAGCATGAAGGCAGTTTTCGTTACGGGCATGGTCGGCACATGCGGGGGTCAACTTCGGATGGCGTCCGCACGGCCGCTGGCCTACGGCGGAGCGGCTGGCTAAACATGCCCCGGGTCGTGACCACGACACGCCTGTTGGCGCCACATGCCACGCCCGCACGGGCGATGGGACCTGACGTGGCTGTGCTGCTGGGCGCTCATGCCACGCTGCTCTGCGGAGTGTGAACGGCTGCGTGGTCCGGCCGACGCTGCCGAGGTGGCTGCGCTCGCCCGCGGGCGGACGGAGACCCTACGCGCCTGTCGGGGCAGCTCGCGTCCCATCCGAACCCTGCCAGACGTCCGGACGTACCCCGAGCTCCCGGCGGGGCGGCGGTGCTCCCGGAGGCGGGCGGCTATCGACCGTCGCTATCGACCAAGCTGGCGGGCCGGCTCGGTACCGATTGCACCAGCGTCTGGCCGCGGCCGGACCGCTGGTCGGTGATGCAACTACCGGATCGGGGTCGAGAGGCGACGCCGGCGCCGGAGAACAGCTCCGAAGCGTGACGAGAGAGCGGGCGGGGTCAACCGCAGAGACGAGGTCCACTTCCTACTGACGCGTAGCTGCGATAACGCTCCTCGAAACCAGCGGCATCCCTTTGCAGTGCTCCTGGAGCGCCGTTGAAATCATGGTGTAACTGCAGATGGTTATGATCGATTCGTCACGTTCTGGCTCGGACCTGGCCACGAACGGCGTAGCTTTCCTCGCATGAAGCGTCTGGCCTGAGCGCAGTTGCTATTAAAAGGGACGGAAACATTCTTTTGTCGAATAACGTTACACTTCAAGGCAATACCAATCGGAGTACACTGAAACGATCAGATGATGATCAGTTTATCCCACGACCGCTTGTGGGGTGTAAGAGATTCTCCGAGTTTCTGAAGCATGGTGTTGATGGCATGTAAAGTCACTTTACTGGAGGTAAACATTATTTGTGGTGCCGATGGTGATATGGCATGGGTATGGAGTGCGGATGCGGCGTGCCTGATATATTTTCAATATATTTACCGCTGTATGCCATGTGAACCGAAAGAGTAGAAAGACAGTCTTCAGTGAGGCAGCAACCTTAGCTTGTCATATCCTCGAGACCCTCACGTTTGTGAACATTTGGTATTAGTCGGAAACACAAGGGCAGTCTTTGGTTTCGTGACCAATACGGAACTTTGCGGTGACTATTGTAGGTACTAGGGCCGGATATCCTTCCAAACTTGGGTGACTAAAGGCACCTGATACGTCATCGACCGCGCGGTAGAAATCGACATAACCTTACGTGAGATTAATGAAGGCTATCGATTGCCGACCGATTTTTTTTTGCGTTCCCATACCTTCTGAAACGCCAGATGAGGGAGGGGGAGGGGCTAGTAACCAGTCGCAGGCAGTTTCTGCTGGCGCACTACACCGAATCTCTTGCTTTGTTGCGTAGAACTGACCTGGTGCTTATTTTTATTTCAGCTATGTATATTTGTCCGTAAAATCTCTCCATTGTGACTCATGATATTTTTTTTTGTCGTTACAGGTAATCACAGGCACACAAATCGGGTCAGTAGGAAATACCTGTCCTGTTTCATTCTTTTGCGTACAAATGCCGAAATGATTAGGGTGGATGTAAGCTGCTAATATGTATAATATATATATATATATATATATATATATATATATATATATATATATATATATATATATATATATATATATATATATATATATATATATATTGCTACCAAAGAAAAATGCCGAGAAAACTTGCAGCTCAAACGAATTAAACGAAAACGTAGACAATATGACGCTTAGGAAATGGAGGCAGGGAAACGGTCCGGACGGACGTCCGACTGCCGCCCACCGATTTCCCACAGGCCCTGGCGCGGCGTGCCCATGGGGAGGGACAGGCCGCCAACATAGCTGATCAATCTTGCAATAAGATCTCAGCGCCGCGAGAGCACGCACATTCTCCGGTTCGGCCGGCCAACTTAGCAGGTGGTGCAGAGCTGGTCAGTCTTGCAGTCAGATCTCAGCGCCGCGAGAGCACGCACATTCTCCGGTTCGGCCGGCCAACTTAGCAGGTGGTGCAGAGCTGGTCAGTCTTGCAGTCAGATCTCAGCGCCGCGAGAGCACGCACGTTCTCCGGTGCGGCCGGCCAACTTAGCAGGTGGTGCAGAGCTGGTCAGTCTTGCAGTCAGATCTCAGCGCCGCGAGAGCACGCACATTCTCCGGTTCGGCCGGCCAACTTAGCAGGTGGTGCAGAGCTGGTCAGTCTTGCAGTCAGATCTCAGCGCCGCGAGAGCACGCACATTCTTCTCCGGCGCGGCGGGCCAACTTAGTCAGGTGGTGGCAGAGCTGGTCAGTCTTGCAGTCAGATCTCAGCGCCGCGAGAGCACGCACGTTCTCCGGTGCGGCCGGCCAAATTAGCAGGTGGTGCAGAGCTGGTCAGTCTCGCTCGGTTACGAGCCTGTGTGCTTCGAGCCATCGGAGTGCTTCGAGGGCGGGATATGGATGCTGTGATCGCGTGACCCCAGGGAGGATTCTGGCGCCAAAGCTTAGTGCTTTGTGGATTGCACTTTTGTCGGGGAGAAACCGCATTACACTGTTGGGCGGTATCTAACTTAGAGATGAAGAAGCCTTTCGATGATAATCCTTTTCGTTTCGAGTGACACCGGTGTCAAAATTTCACGAGGTCATTGTCATGTCATAACCCGGCCTAGGAGTGGCAAACACCTGACGCTCTCAATTTTGGTTTCAAGCGGAGGCGGAGGGCGTATTTTTTGTTTACCAGTCCAGAGCGGGCTGAGTTTTTCATCAAGTTAACCCTGGAGACGCGTCCGGGAAGCCAGAGGCGGGGGTTCGATTCCCACGGCGCTCGCACTTCCTGTCGGAGTGAGAGGCAGTCGATGCCATGTAGTCCAAACTGCCGAGTGGACCGCAAAGCCCCAACGACTATGGAACCTAGACAATTTTACGAAATGGTCAGTCTCACAAGGGTTTATTTTTGGATGATTCTGCGTGCCAGCCAGTCAGTCGCGATGCTCAACGTTTTCTCTGCCCTAATACGATAGCCACGAACATTAACCAGAATGTTCTCGTCAGAAAGATGACGGTTTTCTGCACGCATGCTGAGTAACCACAAGGGATACGAAGAGACAGGTTGTGAGCAGTAAAAATAAGATCGGCGCGAAAAATTCCCTGCAGCACACTGCACGTGACCGGAATTGTCGTTTCACGGTTCACGACACGCCGTGAGCGGTCATTAAGCCAACTGCTAGTTAAGTGCAGTGATGCCATGCCTGTGTGTTCTTAACGGCCGCGCTTCCTTTTCCCATGATCTTAATTGCTACTCGGCCATTGCGTGTTTACAAACAATGCCCTGTATACGGGCGCCCTGACCTCTGGATGGCTTCCGCCCTGAGTGGAGAACGATTCCAGAGAAGTATGCGGCTGCTGGAGCTACTTTCCGATAAACAAGCGGACGTTCATGGAGCCGGTGTGGCCTTGGCATTCTGCGTCGGACAGAGTCCAGTCGCGTCGGAGAGCGGCGGCCACGTGGCCGACGGGTGTCTGCCGAGCGTCCGCCGCCGCGAGGACGTCGCGGCCGGGCGGCTGGCGAACCAGCCCGGCCGCGCGCCGGTCATGCTACCGCCCGGCCTATCGCAGTCAGGCGACCGGTCCGGTCCGGTCCGGTTCGTGCTGCATGACCGACCGGGGCCCGGGCGCGGGCGCCGGTGGTTTCGGGAGGAGTGGGGGACCGCCGCGCGCGTACCCGTCGCCGCGCCAGGTGTGACCGGATCGCGAGGGAATGCTGACCAGAAGCCACTGCGTTGCCCTCGTTGGCACCCATTAATGAGCGCGCGTTTTGGAGGGTATCTTGGAACGCAGCCGAGCTGGATCCACGCGGATCGGACGCTTTTGAAAGGTTGCGGATCACTGTTGATAACTGGTCTTTCCGGCACGTGAAGAAGATAACTAGATTTAGATAAGTAGATATGACCGCATATATAGTGATGGGTATACAGGATCATACATTACCGCTGTTGACGCGAGTGTGCTGGCCATTTTTGCTGGTAATTTTCAAAAGCGTAGAATGACGTAAAAAGCACAGGATAGAGGAGATACATGACGCTCATAGAATATTATCACTTGAAACCTCTACGTCAGATGAAAGGCCATGGAACAGGTAGCACACATATCGACCAGCGCATCAGTATCGTGTACAGCATCAGTACCAGTATCACAGTTTATGATAGTATATAGTATCAGTATGGTATATTGAACCGTATTGGTATGGTATATATTGGCGTATGCTATATCGTATATCGGATATATGCCAGTACGGTATATTGGACCAGTATCAGTGTACGTTGTTTACTCGTCCATCTCAACGGGCCTCGCTCCATTTGTAAATAAAACGGTATGGCGTCCCCGCTAATATCTAGATGTATGTTGTGCTTGCAAAACTCGATTTGCCTCCGTTAAGTTTTGTTTCAAAATGATTTTAGTACAGTGCAGAGTGTCTCCTGCCGTATTATGCAGATCCAATGAACACGCTGAAATTGAAATGATCTGGGCCTACTTTGGCTTTCAGTGTGCCGAGAATCATTTCGGAAAGGCAGCTTGAAATGTTTCTGCGGGTCAAAACTAGTCCCTGACCCAGCCATGTCTGGAGTAGCGCGGCTACGCCACACAAGCCTCCGCTCTCCACTCGTCCCTGGTCTATCGGGTGACCGTCCCATCCATCGCGGGCGGTGTGACCGTGCAGCCACATACATGCGAATCTCCTCACCCCGCCCGTTATACCCCCCCCCCCCCCTCCCTTACAGTTTACATACCGTATCTGCACTGGCCGCGCCATGCCTGTTGGCGGCGCTGACGCTGATTAGGCTGGGCGGATGCGTGTTGTGCAACCGCGCTCGCCGCGTGTGCGGTGCCACCGATTAGGTTCGGGTCGCGCCCGTCCCACGCCAGCAGGCCCGACCCTCGGACGCCGTGGCTCTCAGGCCCCGCGGTGCCGGAGCGGGGAGCTGGCCCCACGCCAGCCGACTCGACCCTCGGACGCCGTGTCTGTCAGGCCCCGCGGTGCCGGAGCGGGGAGCCGGCCCCACGTCAGCCGGCCCGACCCTCGGACGCCGTGGCTCTCAGGTCCCGCGGTGCCGGAGCGGGGGAGCCGGCCCCACGTCAGCCGGCCCGACCCTCGGACGCCGTGGCTCTCAGGTCCCGCGGTGCCGGAGCGGGGGAGCCGGCCCTCACACTGTCCTGTTGACGGCGCTGCGCCCAGCGTAGCCGAGTTGCGCTCGACGAACACACCCATATTGGGCTGCCGTTTGATCGCTGGGCGCGAGCCCGCTGTGGCGCTGGGCGCTCCGGCGACGTGCGTTCTGGCACTGAGTATTCTGGCGCCGAGTGTGTAGTCGTAGTTTGTTCCCACAGAGTGTGCGCTGGCGCAGCCGCGCGACAGAGCGCGCCGCGGGGGCGTGCGATGTCCCGCGTCACGTGTTGGCGTGCCCTGGCAGCGTGTGTGCCGGCCGGCCGGCAGGTTCGCCGAGCTGACGACGGCCGTGCTGCTGCAGCTGAAGGTGCGCGTCTGGCTGTTTTCCAAGATTTGCCCCACGCCTTGGGTGGCGTTCGGCTGTAAGCACTTCGGCGCCGCCGCCGGCATCATGGTCACCGCCTCGCACAACCCCAAGGAGGACAATGGCTACAAGGTCTACTGGGACAACGGCGCCCAGGTGAGCCGCGTGGCCAGCCGACCAGCTGAGCTTGTGAGCGGGACGTTCAGGCGATCGCTTAGAGCGCCGGCCCTCCCGGCTGTCGATGGTGCCGTCACACACGGATCTGTATGGGGACCCAGCGGCGGCGGGCTGGCTGGGTCGTGGCAGCAGGGCGGAGGTGGTTGACGCTAGGGACCGCAGTGGTCACCGCTTCTTGTTCATGAGCTGCGGGCAGCCCCTATCTTTTGATGGCAAATGGCCGGCTCCGACGCGTATGTTATTCTCAGGAGTAGCGGATGCTTGTTTGACCTCGCTTGCGATGGCCTCCCGTGTCGTATGTGCAGGGGGTAGCAATGCAAATGTGAGAAACGCGCTGCCCGTGTGTGCACCACAGCATCATTGCCGCCACGCAGTCAGTTGGTTCAATGAGTCACCTGGACCTTGGTGATGACGATACTCTTATATCTTTCCCCGTCACAACGCTCCACAGGCCAGTCATTTCCGCACATACAAACACGTTCCTCCAGCCCCGCTGCTGTGTCGGTTCCTCTGGTCTAATTTGTCTATGCTTTACATGGCGATGCCCAAGTAGTGCCCTCATCCCTGATCACGTTGTACGGCGATCATGCCTCTCCCCTGAACCCTATTCTCGCTACCGCTCCCCCACGCCTTCACCCGTCTCTGGCTCCCCCTCTCTCTAGACAGCTGCGCGACCCCCGCCCCGCCCGTGCCGCAGATCATTCCGCCTCACGACCGCGGCATCCAGCGATCGATTGAGGAGCAGCTGGAGCCGTGGCCGGGCTCCTGGGACGTGTCGGCCGTCGGCGGCGTCACCGACCCGGGCGCCGAGCTGACGGCGGCGTACCTGGCGCTGCTGACGGCCGCCGCGCCGCACCCCGAGCAGCACGCCGGCTCGCCGCTCCTCTTCACCGTCACCTCAATGCACGGCGTCTCGCACCCGTACATGGTGGAGGCGTTCAAGGCGTGCGGCTTCAAGGTGGGCGGGTGGGGATGTGACGGCCGTGCGAGGAGCGGGCGGGGCGGGCGGGAGAGGCTGTGCTTTGGGGCGGAGGCTCACTGCTGCGGGCCGAACCGCAGTAGAGGGCCGACCCTTGCGACATTGGGGTGGGTGTGGGGAGGGGATTTAATTTGGAGGCAGGTGTTTGGTCCTTAGTGAAATGGGTCCTTGGTTTTTCCATGTGGGTGGGCTGGTTTAGCATTGGTGGGGATTAGAGTTTTTTTTTTCGATCAGCAGTGACCATTTCAGGGAAGTGGGAGGAAGGAGAGTGGGTAGTGGTGGAGCAGAACTACATGCACCTGAAGTCCTCCGCCGGTACTCGCCCGTACAGTGACCCTTACATGGGGTACACGCTCGGCACTCGGACGGACCTCCCGCTGGGGGAGCAAGTTAAGCCCCCTCGTGACTGGTGCATACAGTTTACCCCAGATAAAGGTGGGGTCGCGAAGATGCAGGGTGATGCGGGAATGAGGGAAGGAGGGCGGAGGCGTGCTGGTGGGCATGGACCAGACGCGGCACTGCTCGACCTACTAGTTTGTGACGTCGTTACGGTCGTTGCAGCCGTTCGTCCCTGTGGTGGAGCAGATGGAGGCGGACCCAGAGTTCCCGACGGTGCCGTTCCCCAACCCAGAGGAGGGCAAGTCGGCGCTCAATCTCGCTATGGCCACGGCAGACGCCGCCGGCAGCACGGTCATCCTGGCCAACGACCCCGACGCCGACCGCCTAGCGGTGGCCGAGAAACAAGCCAGGTTCGTGTGGGTCACGGTAGATGGCGGACGCTGTCTGTTGGGTGCTTCTGGTGCTCGGTCGGTCGTAGATGAATCGCCCATCCGGTCCGATGTTGACTCTTGCTGCACCGTAGCACGTTGACGTAATTGCATGGTCCAGATGTTCGTCTACTACTGGTAGTCTCGTCTGGCTGCGTTCCTCACGAGATTCCCATCCCATTCCATTCTTGTCCGACCTCGCTCTCACCGATGTATTTTGCTGCCCGCACCGTCGTGCAGCGATTGACACCGCTCTCCGTCCTTTTGCACCGTCCTCGCTTCCGCCTCTCCGGTCGAGGTTGGCCGCGGCTACGCCTGCTCTCTCTCTCTCTCTCTCTCTCTCTCTCTCTCTCTCTCTCTCA